AGGCAGCCAGCCTGGAGGAGCAGGAAGGGAAAAAGGAAGCACACAGAAAGTAGAAGGGGGGACAGGCTGCCTTGAAGGAGCAGATACTGCTTGAGTGTGCAGGGATGGAGTTGAGAGCGCTGAAGCTCAGCTGGAGTTGGACTTGGAGAAGCATATGAAGGACAAAAAGAACAGCTTCTGTATTGAGAAGGGCTCTGGCAGCAGTAGGAAGGCTTTGGAAAAATGCAGGCCTGCTCCTTAATGGAGCAGAGGACTTGGTGGCAAAGGACATGGAAAAGACCAAGGTACTCGGTGCTGCTCTTGCCTTGATTTTTGGCTGGTGAGGCCTGTCTTCAGACCTCCCAGGGCCCAAGCCTAACGGCAGAGTCTGAGGGAAACATCTGAAGGCGCTGAGGAATCCAGCCAGTGTCATCGCACTCTCTCGTCTTTGAAAAGTCCTGGTGATCTGGGGGGGGTTCATGACCCCTGGAAAAAGGCAAATATCCCACCTGCCTTCAAGAAGGGTAAGAAGGAAGATCTGGGGAACTACCCCATTGCGTTCTCCAAGGAGGTGGCTGGCTGTGTGGACAAGGGAAAAGCAGTGAATGTTCATCTGGACTTTAGCAAGGCTTTTGACACAGTCTCCTGTAGCCTCCTTAGAGCAGAATTGAAGACACGGGGGCTGGAGAAGAGGATTATTGGGTGCTTGGAAAACTGGCTGGGCCACCGTGGTCAGCAGTACGATGTCTAACTGATGCTGGTTGTTCATGCTCCTCAGGGATGACTTGTAGGGCCAACTGGTCCTGTCTTGGCTCCCCAGTGCAAGAAATCGGTGAGAGGCTGGCGCGAGCCCGGCAGAGGCCTCCAGGATAGTTCCCACTGTAGCACAAGACGAGGAGAGGCCATGGGAGACTGGTGTGACCAGCCGGGAGGAGAGAAGGCGAGGGGGGACCTTACTGCTGTCTGCAAATAGCTGATGGGAGAGCGCAGAGAAGATTGAGCCAAACCCTTTTAGGAGGTGCCACAGTGAGAGGGCAAGAGGCAATGGAGACATATGGAGCAGAGGAAACTCCAGCTTGAATTGAGGAAATCCTTTCTCGCTAAGTGTGGTCAAACATTGGAAAAGGTGCCCAGAGAGGCTGTGGGGTCTCCATCCTCGGAGATGTTCCGATCTCAGCTGGGCACGGCCCTGAGCAGCCTAACTGGCCCAGCCTTAGAGCAGAGGGTTGGACCCAGAGGTGAGCACCAGCCAACGCCACTCAAGGAGTCTGTAGTGATCGAGAGCCGTGGGAGAAGCTGTCACTGTGAGGGCACACAGGACGTGGTCACTGGGAGGGCACGTGGGTGCCCATGGCAGCACAGCACAGGAGCATCTGGGGCTGGGAGGGGAGCTGTGGGCAGAGGGAAGGGTGGTGTTCTGGAGCCAGGGGTAAAGAGCTCCTACTGTTACCCCCAGAGCATGGTAAGTGCTTCAGCTCCACAAGGGTGATGTAGGGATGGAGAGGAGCACCAGGACCTCTTTCTGGGAAGGTCCTGGTACTCTATCCTAGAACTGAAAATGCCCAGCCCATGTCCTCTGGGAGGGAAGACAGAGGAGATGGGTTGCTCTGGACATCCTGACATGCCTGGGCTTGTACAACAAGGCAGGGGAACGCTTGTGCACATGGATGTCTTCCTCTGCCCCGCTCCTGGGGAAGATGTTCTGCTGCAGTGATGCTCAGTGTGTTCCAGCATGTGGGACCCAGTATTTTGAGGAATGAGCTTGGGATGTGGCTTGCCTGGAGCTTCTCTGTGCTTCTAAGCTTCAATAGAAGCCATCTTCTGATGGGTGCAAGGGGACAGCTGCTCTCTCCATGTCCTGAATATCCTTCCATGACAAAGCTGGGACCTGGTGCCCCTTCTGAGACATTCAGATACCAGCAGCCTGGTCTCCTGTCATCCTGGAAAAGCCAGAGATCCAGCCAAGACTGTCGTTGGTGGATGCTGGCTGTTGGGTGATGAACACCTTGTGCCCTTCCTCTTCCTGGTGCTCATCTGCCCGCTGACGTAGCTCGGGAGGCTCGAGGAGGTGCCTTGGCAGAGGTTGGTCCCTGCCCTGAGCCATGTTCTCCTCAGCCACCTCCTTTGAGAAGAACTGCTATGTGTTGTGGTTGGGCTCTATGGAGACGCCGTCCCAGCAGGTTGATGGCTTCCTGCCTTTGCTTTCGCTCTGAAGGTGGTTTCAGAAGCGCTGTGGCCCCAGGTGCATGTGGCAAGAGAGCAACGTCGCCCAGCCCTGCCAGGGATCACCTTCTCCTGAGTTATTCCACCTCTGGGAAAATTCCTCTGGGAGCCCTCGGTTGGCAGATTGCAGCTCAGGCAGCCTGGAGCTTAGTGATATGTCAAAAAGGGCAATTTAGGGGACCAGGCAGCTGGCACCCTCCATCCCAGCTGATGCTTGGTCGTGGGGACCCAGGCTGCTGGCTGAGAACAGCTCGGCCGGCTCCCTCAGCGCCTTCTGCTGAGTGTCTGGTAGGGCCAGCTGAGCCAACGCTGAGGGCTGTGGGGCCCAGTGAAGCCCTGCAGCACTGCACAGGGCACGGGACAGCTTTCCGCTCTGTCCTGGAGCGCGTCTGGGCTTTTGCCCGGTCCAGAGCCTTCCCCGGGGAGCAGAGTGGTTGATGTGCTCGCTCCTGTTGCTCCGAGGAGGCCACCTAGCCTCTGCCTCTCATCCTTGCTTCGGGGCAGCGGTTTTGTCATTTTGGCATGACACCTGGGGCGTTTCTGCTCTGGAGAAGCACCGCCTGCAGCACCCTGCAGTGGGCACCGGCGCCCATCCTCTGGAGAAGCACCCTGCAGTGGGCGCCGGCGCCCATCCCCATTACCTCCCCTTGCAGATGCTCGGTGCAAAGTGATGGGGCTGGGCTGACCTCCCGGCGCTGGGAAGGGTAGAGCTGCCCTTTTCCACGCTCACCGGCCATCTTCAGGCAGAGGTGTGTCCCCATGAACCACCCCGGGGGGCTGCAGGGCAGGAAGAGGTCGTGGACCCTCAACCCTTGAAGGCTGGAGCCAGGGGGAGATGCTGCTGCTGGTGCTGCTGCTGGCTGGGAGGCACTGGTGGGGTGTCCTGCTCACCCAGGTGAAGGCACGCGGGAGGAGAAGGGCTGGGCAGGGATGCCCTCTCCTCCTGGTGGGGCCAGCGGGCTGCTTTCATTTTGCTTCTCTTGCTCAGGCGGTAAATCTTGCCTGACGGGGCAGGAAGAGGCACCGAGCGCTGGGAGGGGGAGGAGGCGCTGAGGCGGCGGAGCTGCCGGTTGGTAACCTCAGCGCTTCCTCCCGGTGGGGTGCCCTTCCCGCGGCGCCCAAGGATGCTGCCCTGATACCCTGCACCCCCTGGGTGGGTGATCCTGTGGTCCCAACCATGGCCGTGTCCCTCGGAGGGATCCCCGCTGAGCTGCAAGGTAAGCAATCGCCTGCTGCCGGGGCACCGATGCCACATGGAAAGCACCGGTACGGGGCCTGCTCGGCCCCAGTTTGCTGTGCCGGGGTTGGCAGAACCGTTTTCGGGTGCCTCATCGGCAGCAGCTGCAGTTCAGGGGGGTCCAAGCAGGATCTGGGGTGCGAGGGCTGCTCTTGCATCCTCAAGCATGCCAGCTTTGAGGGCTGCTCGGGCCAAAAGCATCCCCAGAGAACGGGCTGGATGCTCAAGGATGTGGTTCTCCATGACTCCTGCTGCCCGGTTTGTGGGTGCAGCCTGGTGCTGCACCACTCCCATGGGCTTGGGGTCCCCCAGCCAGCTGGGGGGCCCCAGCAGCTCCCCAGGGAGGCACGACCCGCAGCCCTGCCCCGGCTCCCCAGCAGCACGGGGGATGCGTGAAGTACCACTGCTCCCAGCCTTCCCTCGTTCGATTGAAAAAGCGAAAGGCCACGGAGGTCTCGGGGTCCGGCAGCCTCCCCAGCCCCACCGAGGTTTGTAGTGGGGTGGGAAGGAGCCGCGTCGCTGCAGCTCCAGGCCCTGGCTCTACTAGGATGGGTCCCTGGGGACATGCGGCTCAAGGTACTGGACCCACGGGGCTCTCGGCAGCCTGGGCGAGGGCCGGAGCGAGCGGCGTTGTTGTGAAAACCTCGTTTGCGTAACGGTGGGCAGTTGTGGTTCTCGTCCCACTCCTCCGAGCGAGAGGTGCGAATCGGGAGAGACGGGGAGGCAGCGCGGGGAGACGATGCTCCAGGCAGGAGCGATGCTTGCACTGGTCCGGAGCGGCTGGTTTGCAAAATTGCAAATGGGGGGAGGGTGGCGCACACGGCCACCCGTGCACGTCACGGCTGGGAGAGTTACTGAAGAAATGCAAAAGCAGAACACATCCCTGGCTGCACAGTGGGGAGGCAGGACTTGGGTGCCAAATTGCTCCCCAGTGGTAAATTTGGGAAGGAAGGGAGAAAAACCAGGACCCTCTTGTCGCTCAGCGCCAGCTCCCAGTGAGTAAAGCAGCATTTGCAGCGTAAACCAGCGACCCCAAAGCCCTGTGCTTGGTCGAGGCTGCAGCCTGGGCTGCAGAAGCCCATGAGGAGGTGGATTTATCACCCGGGCAGCAAACCAAGACCCAACGCTGGTGAAGAAGCACGTAGCTTAGCTGGGAGAGCAACCAGGGTCTGACCATCGGGTGTGGACGGAGAGGAGTTGATTCAGGCGGGGACGTGGCGGACGGTGTCCCCAAGGGCAAGCAGGGCATGTGAGAGAGGGCCAGGGGTAGCTTCGGCCACCTCACTTCATGGGGACGTTGGTCTTTTCAGAGGGCATCACCACCTTCCTGGGGACAAAGAAGGTGGTCCTGGTGATGAGCGTCCAGCTGCAGGTGAAATCCAAGTACGACGACTATATCTTGGTACGTGCAGAGTCCGGCCTGGTTCCTGCTTTCCCGGTTTCCCCAGGCAGCTCTTCCGTGGCCGCAGCGGGGGACGGGGGTGGTTCGCGTGTCACCCCAGTCCCCTGTCACACCAATGTCCCCCTGCGTAGGTGCTGACGCCCTGGCGAGCCTACGTGCTGTCAGTGATGCTGCCAGTGAGGGTAAGTGCTGGGGACCCTGCGCCGCGGTAGAGCCCCGTGGTTCCCGGGAGGGCACCGCTCAGCTGCTTGGGGCACTGGGGTGGGTGCTCCGTGGGTCACCTGGGCCACCGGGTCTGGGAAGCCCCCAGGAGCAGGATGAGGAAGAGGATGGGGCAAAGGGGAGGGGGGTTGGGATCAGGGGGCTGGTGAAGGCTGGGGGGGCATGGCTGGCCACTACTCGGGGGACCCCAAGGGTGCCCTCCAC